TCTCACTTAGATCAACTGGATTTGGAATAAGTTTATTCAGTGACCTGTGAGTGTTTCATGATGGAAAAGCAAATTTTAGTAAAACTGATTATACACTGGAAACTAGAAACTAACAGAATAGAGATGCACTGAAGATGGAGTTTTGCTACTTTGAATCGGAAAATCTTGAGTCGTAGTGCAAACAGTGAAATTGTAAACCAAGGATCCAAGTAGTGCTGGAATGCTTAACAACCTTGGTAATTGGAGACAACGAAACGGTCCCATTATCTGAACAAGTTACTATCAACGGACCTCTACTAAGCATGTCGACTTCTCCTGGGAACTTCTCTGTCTCTTCTCTATTTGTCTTTGCACCTCTTCTGAAGCAACTTTACGGTTTAACTTTTTAATTACCGCCCTGACTCGTGTTTATCGTCACATTAGTTCTCTTTCCCTCCAACCCTTACTTCCTTTCTGTTTCTCCTCGCATTCAACTTTCCTAATACTTGCCGCGTGTCTGGAACTACCACTCGCTTGACTTGCTAACGAGTCTAGAGTTATTAACCACAGGTGCGTTATTCACACCCCGTATACACGATGTTGTTTCTTACAAAAGAAAGTTAAAACATTCAAATATCTCTCTACAGTTATTGCCAATTTATGCAAAATAGATTGTCTTTTAATTTTTATACACTGGAGAATAATTTTTTTTAATCATTAAATAGTTTTAATAACAAATGTGAGTGATAAAAATAACGAGTTAATTTAAAAGATGTCTATATTGGGAACAAAGTTTTAAGAATTAAAATAATGTTTGAAAATTCCTCAAGTTTTCGCAGAAAATTTATATTTAATACCGTCATTTTAGGAAAGCAACAGGGCGGTAGGTTTATATTTTAAGAGTTGGCAGGATTGTTTAGTGCTTTACTCGACTCCATCGAGCATTTTGTATATAACCCAGCTAGTATGAAGATGGTACACATTTTTATGTTCCTACTACATCTTTGGCAGTCTCATACCTCATCCAAGGTTTTACAACCGTGTAAATCCTGCCAGCTTCTTTAATACTTGAAAGTTTAGAGGTAGCAGGTAAACGTAAAACCGCCATATATATCGAACAACATCCTTCGTCCCCATCGGCCAATTCACCAACAAAGATGGACGATCCTGTCGGACTTCTCGAGGATTCTCCTGACAGTGATCCTAGAGCTTTATTGAACCGTGTCTTGTTTATCGATTTCGATTACATGTCGTACGTGATTCGACGTTTGCTTTCTCTCCATTTATCTCTTACCGCTTCTAGCATTACCTCTTTATCACTATCCTAATGTATGTTGTCAAAAATTCTTTTCAAAAATCGTAATTAAGAAAAGATGTTTTCTCTAAATATTTATAAATTGATAACTATCATTTATCTTTCTGCTGTCAAAGCTTCCTTTGAGGATAATAAAAATTCTCGTGCGGGGATCATCATGCGATATTCCTTTGTTCTGTCGAGAAGAGGGTAAAACTTCTGTAGGCAGTAAAACGAGAGGACAGCGTTACTAAATCGATATTGCTTTACAAGACGCGCTTTTTCTTTTGATATGATCTTATATACGAGAGTGCTAGATGCGTGTAACTTAATGCTTTTGTGTTATATTTGTCATCGCTATGCATGAATGCAAAATGTAAAATTGGATCATGCGAATATACTTCATCTTCTGTATATCCCAACTGAATATTCTCAGTACTCTTTGCTAGTCCATTCTCTTTTGATTCAATAGAAGAAGTCTTTTATGGTCAACCCTTGTTCCTGTCCCTTTCAGCAAATAGGAATGGATAACATCTTTTGATATTATTCTTCAAATCTACCAGTTTATTTCAAAGCAACCAATTAGTCTTGATGTGATGAATTTTAAGATAACTTTACGCAAATAATAATTAGTGTTTTAATATTACATCATCCCAAAAATAAAAAAGGAATTTAAAGGTATTTGGCGCCCATTGTATTCTTCTATTATTCCAATAATATTAAAAAAGAAATAGTGTGGAAAAGAATTTGAAAAGAAGTCTAATTCTTCGAGTCTAATATTCTTGAAGCGTTCAAGCACACATTTTTACAAACGTTTACTATTCACTTTACTTTGGCAAATGCATAGAAGGAGAACGGTCTCTGTGGTTTGGCGTTAACGTTTTACGGTTGAAACCCTTCCCTCAGTCGTCTAAAGTAAATTCGAAACCCCATTCCAGTCGACAGTAATTCTCCATGGAATCGAACCCTGTGGTGGCAACGTCGCTGCAATGGGATTTTACTGTAACCGCTTCCATGCCGCCACATGCAGTCTATAGACTGTGCTTGTGGAATGAGATTGTGATAAAAGATTCAAGATTTTGTAGAATTATTGATGAATCCTCTATAAATTTGAAACCCGGGATAATCCATCGCTTTCTGAGTCGTTTCTGATTAAAGGTGAAGAATTTTATTCTTTACTGATTACAAAAAAAAGAAAGAATTGATCATTTAATTTTTCAAATTAATTCCGCAAATAAAATATCATTTTTTTACAAAAATAATTATATCTCTTCTACAAATATTTTGCAAAATTTTTTGTTCACCATTTGAATAAATAATAATATATATATTTATATTTACGTTGAAGCTAATTAAACATTATTAATTATACAAATTGGGTTAACTTGAAGCGGAAATAATGTATGCATGTTGTGTATAAATTGAAAAGTGGAACTCATGCAGAAATCATAATGGGGAACCAGAAAGATTGGGAACTTCAGTTTGAACTGTTTCAATCGATTAAAATCTGAATTCTACCTGCTGTATTATTAGCATTTCAAATTGAGGCAATATTTTTTTTTTGTTTACAGAAAGTAAAAATACGTATATTATTTCAATATACTAGTCGGATTTATAGTTAATTACTACTCAGATAAAACTATTAAATTTTTTAAATCTAATTGTTTCCATAAAGAAAGTTTTAACTGTATACAATTAATATTTTACAAAACTTTTATTGCTCGAATGTAAAAAAGGAGATATATGAAGCGGAAGATCGTTGAGGTCGTATCGTGATACACGTAAAATACAAGTAAAGTACAAGTAACTATTCGAAGAAAAGTTTCAAGCTTTCCTATCTCGTTTATTCAAACCGATCGATAGAGATATCTGTGGACATGTGGACAATTTCCTTTTCGTTCTTCTCATTCGTTTTTATTGCAACGATTGTGTTGTTGGTTATAGTTACAAAATATAAATATGTTCTGCAAGAAGATTAAAAGCTTTAACATTAAAATCGAAATATTTCCTGTGCTAAAAAAAGTATAATTAAATAATTTCTTGAATCTTTTGTAAATTGAAATAAGATTAATGTTTCCTATTTAGGAAACAAAACACTGTGAATGAAGTAATCGAATAAAAAATACTTTGAAAAAGAAATAAATCCAAAAAAGGAATTTAAAGGTATGTGGCGCCCATAATTAACTTATTTCATAATATGTCTTTGAAAATAAGCTAAGTGAGTGGTTCAGAAATTGAATCTTCATTTCTTTTAAGAGTGTTAAAAAGCAATTTTTCATATATGTCAATTTTTCAATTGCCAGAGATAGAAAGGCAATTTCAATTTCTGCAATTGAATGAGCGTCCCATTGGAAAAACGAGTCGCGTATCGAAACGTGGACCGTGTGCGTACAAATCACAGTTTTGTGCGTGCGAAAAATCTAACGAGTTGCAAGCAGAACTACGTCAAATTGATAAAAGAGGGAGAAGAGGTAGACGCAAAAAGGGATATGGAACGCGCGAAAAAGGTAGACTTGATGGAAAAAGAGCAGGAAAAGTTGGGGAGGAGGATAAAAATCAGAGATGGGATTTTTGGTTGACAATAGATCGCTTAGAGGCAGAGACGTGTCAGCTGTCGAGTCACCAAAGGCTCACTTGCATGACTGACAGTTTTATAGAGGGCGAATTTCTGAGCCGTTTTTTTTTGGAAGGGATTTATGATCCTCCTATGCCCAACCAAAAGTAATTGTGTCCTACAAATTCATATCGAGAGAGCATGAGATTCCATAATCCGTATTCATGCGGGTCAAGTGATACATTCAAACTTTCCTCGTTAACGCATCGACGATAAATATCCCGTCGAATAACATCCCTATCTGTTCATGCGCTTAGCACATCCCTTTGTTAGTAGTGGACTGAATTTATTTCTCTTGAAAGAGTTACAAATCGGAGGTGATTGCCGAAACTAATGGATTGGCATATTCGACTAACAGAATCAATTGATAAATTTTCTCTTTCTATTGGCTGGAAGTAAAAAATGAAAATACAATCTAAAAAGAAAAATTTATCCAATATTTATAAGTTTTGATGTAATTAGTAAGCGATGCAGTGTAGGGATAACAGTTTTCTTAAGGCTTTTCATATTTCAAACTTGAAAGCGATTAATTCTCTCTATTGGATGAGTCAGAAAGGTTTCTTTGAATGCAAGCAAGAAACAAGAAGAAGAGCGGAAGGTAAGATTAGCTGACTTTGAAATGAACATCGACTTTTTCGTTTCATACAGTCTAAAAGGTAACTGAAATTTCGAAAAGTTTGTGTGGTGATACTTTGCCTTTCAGAAGATTTCAATTCCTCTGATTCCTTTAACTTCATTAAAAGTCTTGGCATTTGATTTGCAACAGATCTCTATTGGAATTTGTGGTTTAAAACTTAGCACATAAATTCAAACGCAAAAGTTACCAAAAGTCTAAGAGAATATTCAATGCAACTGAATATTTCTTCTATGAATAAAAAAGTATCGTCAATATTTGCTGGCGCAAAAGAAAGTCTTATTTGTAATCAGAAAAATTTAAAGTATAAGTAAAGAAACTAGAAAAATATTTCAAAATATATTGCAAATATTTGATAACTTATATTTACTCTTGACAATCAAGATGAAGATTTTTGTGGAAAAAATTTAAAGATTCTTAAAAACTAGAAAAAATGTATGTAAAATAGTTGTAGAGGTAATAAATGTAAAATTACTCACCTCACAGTTGGAATGGCTGATATTACTCAGGTTGAGCCTGAAGACCTTGTCCCTGAAAAAAAACGGAATGATAAAAAGTAAGCTTTTATTCACCTGGGATTAAAAGTTTGGATAAGCAGACAAATATAAAGAAGGCCAAGGTGAATTCTCATTCTGCGCGTACACAAGAGTACATTACTCTCTGACTGGCCGCGCCCTTATCTCTCATCGGTTATATATGATTACATACTACCGTAGCAGTTGGTTCCTCACAGCATTTCTTAAAGCGGCAAATGTTTGAAGAACGGGATAGAATTTATATGAGGCTGTGGAAAGCGATGCTTCTAGGATCTCTCGGTAAAGCATGAAGCTTATACTAATGGAGATATCGTGCTAGTGGGAAGTTGTGAAGAGTGGAAGCAAAGACAACTTCGCTCTTCTACTCAAGAGTCTTCTCTCCAACGAGAGATAATACAAATTAACGTCATACAACAATAACTACAATACTGAAAATAATATCACTTTTACAAATATTGACAGACGGAGTTTGGCTTGATTATCAAAGAATTATTAAAAAATTACCTGGCGCAAATTGGATAAAAATGAATCTATTTGTTCTAGTGTCAAGAATGATTAGCTCTTTCATCTTCAGAGAAGATTTTTCTGGCACTGATGTCTTTTTCTCGATGCTTTCAATGATAAATGTTCGTTTTGCTATCGTGCCTCGTTAATTAGAAATACGATGTGGGTTAATTGTAGTTTTGAGAACCCGCGGCTGAGTTGTGGTTCACTCGCAATTAAGGTACGCTAATTGAACGCTTCCAATTATCAGACAGGGTGGCGTGCACGATAAAAGGCATTCGAGGGGGAGGGGAGCAAAACTTTTTTCAATTTAGAGAGACAGATTTCATGAGACGAATGCGGGAATAATTGACGTTTTTTAATTTAATTTTTCAAAAATTCAATGTTTATTGCTATCACTTTTACAGACTTACAGTAGCTGTAGTTTTTATATTTCAATATTCTTCACCACATAACTTGATTCTCCGGGTGCAAAATTGAAATCGATGCTCGTCTTTCCTAGAAGGTTATTTTTGTATCTTTTTTTCTCGTCTCTCTCTAAATTGGTTTACCGGTTTTTGGTGTTCTTTTGGTTGCTGCGAGTTTGTAAAGGTATATAGAGAAGCATATCTTGTGAAAAGTTTCTTCGAAACCGATGGAAAGTTCAACTTGAAATTCCAAGTCGGATTTGTTTTTCGTGACCGGTATTTACTTTTTCACGGCTGTGAGAAAGAGAAAGAGAAAGAGGTGAATGGAATGGGTGCTCAACGCAACGTTGGCGCTGCGCATTCCGTTTGACTGCGCTCTCCTATTGAAAATCATGATGAATGGCTATTGGAATAAAGTTATGCGGCGGGACGACGACGCTAATGTTGCGAAACATTTGAAAACTGGGTAAACTCGATTTACGTTCACGCCACTATACCCTGATGGTATTCCTCTGTTGCAAATCTCTTCAGTAACTTTTCTACCTTCGTCGTTTTTCAAGATCGATAGTATTTCCTCATCTTATCCAACCTATGATCTTTGCTAAAGATGGGCTCTTCTGATATTGATAGTATTTTTTCCCATTGAAATGCAATTTCATCAGATTTTCAAAAATTGATAAAGTAATTTATAAGAGGAGGATGATAATAAAACAGGCTGTAAAATGAGATGCTTTTTTCATGAAAGCTTCATTAAATTGTAGTTAACATCATTGATAATAATCAATTTCCAGTAATTTATAAATAAAATTCTTTAATCTATTAATTCTCTGTCATCAATGTTTGTCGTTTTCTATAGAAAGAATTTGTTTTTTAACAACGTCTTGAATATTCATTGTCTTTTCCTGATGTGTCGATAAATTTAAACTTTTTCGATAAATTTTTAAAAATATCAGTCTTGCATTTCTTATGAATTTTCATATAAATGGAAATAGAATCATCAATAGAATTTATCTATGTATCTATCAATAGAATTTTATTCACTCTATTCATAAAACATTGTGACTAATTATTATTTTACTTAATTCTTGTCTTCAATATTTAACCGTATTTTTATAGAAGAAAATCTATTTCTGTCTTGCAAATAGTGATTTTTGGATATATCAGTTTTTTCTTTTCATTATATTTTCAACTTCTGTTGTAATATTTAAATTTCGTACAATTTACTTTATTAAATGAAAACGAAATTGAAATTCACCTGCAACTGTGACTATCAACACAGGCCAAAATTTTCAATACAACCTTACAGAAGGAACACATTTTTATTCAAATTACTCCATATACTGATCACGTTTCGTTATTCATTATTTGATCATCAAATTGGTTATATTGTAAATATATTTTTAATTTAAACATGAACACTGTAGACGATGAAAATGTTTATATTATAAAAATTAAATATTTTATTTAAATTATTCGTATATTAGAATCTCCGAACTAAAAGAGTTTGCAGATTTGCACTTTTCGGACAAGATTAGAAATTCAACAATGGAAGTTTGCATTGAAAATTATTAACATCCTGATTATTTATTTGCGTCTGTCATTTCATTTTCTGGTTTTGAAGAAGAAAAAGGGTGAAGATAAGTTTATTAAAATGCTTTTCGATTCGACGAAAAATCTGATTTTTCTAAACAAATAAATGTAGATCACAAGTTTTTTCGGATTTCAACAGAGATCCAAACTAATTTCAATCGTAGGTGAAAAATGCGAGAATCCGAAACCAAATCACGGCATCAGGAAGCTGTCCAGTTTATATACAGAAAACCTAAAAGGAATGGTTGGCAGGGAAGAAGAAATAGTGCCCGAGAACGGAAGCAGGAGAGACTTACAAACGATATACGGAGATCTCCACTTACCAAGTTTAAAGCCGGAAGGGAGTACCCCAAGTGGAAGCACGTTCTTAGAAAAGGGTACGGACTTTTAGTGAGTCGGCCGAAATCCATTTCTACATAACTTAGAACTACAGACTCCACGCTATCTACTGTAACGCAATATTTTATTCCCCATTCGCCAACTAACCCAAATATATCAAAAATTAAAGTTGTTCCTTAAATGTTCGATCATCATCATACTGTTGGGTCAACAATAACAAATTTTAATTTAGTTTTTTCTTTCGTAAAATATAGTAAAGAATTGATCCAGAAAAACTTTGAAATGGAATAATAATCCGACAACTTGTTAACCTAGAAGATAAGAATTGAATCTCATTATTTATTTTAAAAGTAATAAAAATAAATTCCGAGGATTTTTAAAGTGCTATTCTTGAGTTGCATTGCAATTCACCAAAGTTAACATTCACTGCAGTGGAGCAATAACAGACGAATAGTACTTGGAATTAGGTTTACGGTCGAATGGAAATTTAATGGCGGAGTCTTACAATTGAGTTGACATGAGAGGAAAGAGAATCTTAATCGTTACAAATCATTTGAAGAGAAAACGTCCATCAGTTGTACTTTGCTTTTCATGCAATTCTTATTGGAATTCGATACTTTTCAAAGTAGAATTGTAGGTACTTACAACAAAAGACTAGGCCGATGGAAACGCATGGAACGAAGCCAGAATTTGAAAACGTTAAAATCCAAGTATTCCCCTACCATATTTGAGAGCAGGAAAAATGCAATTTCTCGTTACTGCATTTTTCCCATATCTGAAACTCGCACTCAAGTTTGGAATAAAAAATACGATTGTCAATCCTTTAGGAAAATTGAGAATTCTTGTCCTAGAATTTTGATAAACTTGTTGTTGTTTGGTGAAAAAGGAATTTAGAAAGAAATTGTAGGTTTTTCGGTGATTTATAGAGGGAAAAAAAGAAGGAAGCTACCGCAATCTTGGCAGAGGCGAGCCAGCTCGTTCGTCAATGCGAATCGTTACTTCCGGTCGGACGGGTCGAAATACGTAGTCTCATCCGAAAAGGCGATGGCGCGTGTGTCGGGTGAAATTTTGATTTACTCAAAGGACCTTTATTCGAGGATCTATGTAATCCTGATCTCACGAACCTGTCCAGTCGAGCGTCCCGTTCGAAAGGATACCTTTTTTTCCTCGCTTATCATGTTCCCTCGTTTATAGGCTAACGTCCATTCAGAAGAGCGAACCCTCGGCCTCTCTATTAAACCAGGGCGATGTAGCATTTTGTTGGTATTTACGAAATTAAGAGGGTTCCTCTACAAAGGGAAAAATTCGTAAAGCAAAAAAAATATTACACCAGAAATAAATTTGTTTGACCTTTAAAAAAAACAAGCTAATTACTTTTTCAAAAAAAAAAAAAAAAAAAAAATGTAGAAATAGTGATGTCCCCCACATACTTGGCTTTCATAAACTTGATCGAAAATCTGTTCAAGTTATTTTGCATTCAATTCGCGTAGCACCCGGAAGAGGGCGTCGCGACGTGCAGAGATGCGGAGATTTATCGGAAAAGTTTACGTTGGTAATTTGACGAACGAACTTTTCAGTCAATATCTATTTACATAAACTTTTTTTTCCAACCCGTTAAAATTATTACTTTTCTCCTACTTTTTTCCAGTTAGGGGAAAAATTTATTTTTATACATTTCAAAACTGAATTAAAGAAAAAAGAAAAACAAGATAAAAATTCCAATATTAAGAGAATTATGATGTCTAGTTTTGGAATTAAAAAAATTAATCTGGCTTAAGAAGAGAACTTGACACGTTATTTCATAAATATTTTTCTTGCTGTACAAATGTTTCTTTTTTTTGTCTGCTCATACATATACACATATACACGCTTATTACACTCCATAATTCGTTCTCTTCGGTATATGAAAAGTAATAATTTTATATACTCACATTGCTCCAACGTAGAGAACATCCTTTTTACTGTCCAGGTAAAGAGTTCTGTAGTACAGCATCCCACAGCTGAATTCACGTACATGCTCTGAAAACAGACAGGAAGAGGATTAATGTTGGCGCTCACGATCGATTAACGCACAAAAACGCGCACACGCTGATGCGTCGACTCGCTTTTTGTAAAATTTTATTCTTTTCCTTATAATTCTCTCGAATCTCATAATCTCCATGAAAAGCTTACTGAAGTTTTTAATTTTCAAACATTTACGCAGTATATTTAATTGAAATATTTTTTATAAAAAGGAAACAGAATATAAATTTGAAAATTCGGTGACAAACGCCTTTCACGCTCCCCACGTCGAAAAATTCCATGGAAGTACCCCTTGGAAATTCCATGGAATTTCCGTGGAGTTTCCATGGAAATTTTGCAAGTTTTTTATTTTAAAAATACCTATTTTAACATTTCCAGGATTGTCATTGGTCAGGGAAATCAGGGAAAAGTCAGGGATTTTTATAAAAGTACTGTAAAAAATTGAATTTAGAAGAAGTTACAAATAATTGCAGAAATTCAATTTATTTTCAAAAAAAAACTTTTCCCAGATATTCAATTATGTTCAAAAAAAATTTTAAAAACACCACGTTAAAATTTCAATTATCTTTAAAAATAATAAAATTCTTCTCCAAAATTCAATTATTTTCGAAAATTTTCCTGAATTCCATCATTTTCAATATCTACTATTCTATAAATCAAATTTTTCAAAAGATTTCAATTATTTAAAAAAAAGTGTTGATAAAATTTAAAGCAAACATTAAATTATTTTCATAAATAATACAATTTTTTACCGAGATTCAATTATTTTCATAAATAATAAAACTCATTGCACAATTTTAATTAATTTTAATAAAATTTTAATCGAATTCCTCGAAAAATGTAATTATTCTTAAAAATTTTATTAAAATTTGTCGAAAGGATTCAATTATGTAAAAATTTGTTTATTTATGGCAATTGAATTTTAAGAAACATTCATCGAAAAATGAAATTATTCTTCAAAATTTTAATAAATTCCTCGAATATTTTTTGAAAATAATTACATTTTTCGAAGAATTTAATTAAAATTGTATTAAAAATAATTAAAATCCTACGAAGAATTTTATTATTTAGGGAAAAAATTGAATTCTTGCAACGAATTTTTATTAAAATTTTTTTTAAATAATTGAAATTCTGTAAAGAACTATATTATTTATGAAAATAACTGAATTCTTGCAACGCGTTTTTTTACATTTTTTTTTTAAATTAAATTCATTTACGAAATTTTATTAAAATAGTAGATTTTAAAAATATTTGAATTTCAGCGAAAAATTTGATTATTTGTGAAATGTAATTGAATTCTTGCAAAAAAGTTTTGAAAATAATTAAATTTCTTGAGGAATTTATTTAAAATTGTATTAAAAATATTTGAAATTCAGCGATTAAAATAATTAAATTCCTAAATGAAATTTTATTATTTATAAAAATAATTCAATGTTTTCGTCGAATTGTATCAGAAATGTTTTTCAATAATTAAATCTTTTGATAAATTCTTTGAAAATAGTGAATATTGAAAATGATTGAATTGTGAAAAACTTTTGGAAGTAATTGGAAATTATGCAAAGAATTTTATTTAAATTTTTGAAAATAATTGGATTTTTGGCAAAAAAAATGTGTTATTTGCAAAGATAATTGAATTCTAGTCGAGATATTCGTTAAAATTTTTAAAAATAATTGATTTTTTTCCAAGAATTTTATTACTTTTCAAAATTATTGAATTCTTGTGATGAATATTGTTATATTTATGAAAATAATTGAATTTCAGCAAAGAATTTTATTATTTGTGAAATGTAATTGAATTCTTGAAAATAATTACATTTTTTCAGGAGTTTATTTAAAATTTCATTAAAAATAATTGAAATCTTATAAAAAAGTTTATTATTTATGAAAATAATTGAGTTCTTAGAACGAATTTTATTATAATTTTTTTAAATAATTGAATTCATGTGAAAAATTTTATTACTTGCAAAAATAATTGAATTCTTGGGTAGAATTTTACTAAAATTTTTGTAAATAATTAAATTTTTTTACGTTGTTCAACGTTGTTCAACGTTGTTGAATTTCATAAAGATTTGAATTTGAAATTTTTTTGAAAATCTTAATTCCTATGGAATAATAATAATGATTAAATATTTATTTAAAAAAGAATTTATTGTTGTTTTGGAAAAATTTTATAATGAAAAAAATTCGTAATTAAATGTAATAGAACAGTTTTTTGAGTATCTAATAATTTTTAGAGTGAATCAGAATATTCTTTAGGATCAGGGAAAAATTGAAAATTTTGTCCGGAAATCAGGGAAAAGTCAAGAAAATTCTGTAAGTTTTTTATTTCATTATTTTAACATTTGTATTATGATTAATAGAGTCTAATAAGAAGCTTTGTTGCAATTTTTTCAAAATGCGTATTTCATTAAAGTTTTGCAAATAAATTGCAACAAAGCTTATTATTAGACTGTAATCATAATAAAAATGTTAAAATAATATTAAAATATAATAAACTTGCAGAATTTCCTCGGAATCTCTGCGGAAATTCCATGGAATTTCTATGGAATTTTTCGACATGGGTCAAAGGAGTCGAATTTTTTTACTGAAAAATTTAAGTTTGAAGTGATAAAGTACCCTGCTCACCACTATATTTAGATCAATGAGAAATAAATTGACCAAAAAAGTTTAACATTTATGATTTATATTTTATTCATCTGTAAATAATGGTCGAGTGTAAAATGATGAATTTTCGTGGTTTATGAAATTAATTATATTCGTGATTATTTATTGCGCAGAACGAGTCCGTGAGTGGATAAAATACAATTTCTATGGTGGTGCTATTGCAGCTCGACACTGATCTGCTTAACATATGAAAGAAAGTCAACCCTCTCCAAATAGACTCGTTCCACTCTGAACTAACAGAGCGCGAACAATGCTATATTTTATATGGTATCAGAAGGGGCTGACGTGGAATGAAAGGGGTTCGTATTACAGAATAGTATCTCTTTTTAACCCCCCCCTTCCCCCTTCCCCTTTACCTCCCACCCCTTTCACCTCTAAAAGCTACTATCTCTTTTGCCAACGTACCCTCAAACAAAAGACACGCGCCTTTGAATTTAGATACTCGAAAGTCATTACTATCACAATTATACAAAAATACCAGTTATTAGTAGATTTTTTTGATTAATGCGTTTGAATTGTTAAATTATAGCCAAATCGAGACGAGGAAAAAAGAGGCTCATAAAACTTTAACAAACAAAATTTAATTACCAGACAGTGCTTTTCCTATTTTATATTTCAGGAAGAACTTAATTATAATCAGGGGTAATAAATCCATTTGGAGCAGACAATTTAAATATTTAATATTATTTTTTCGAGGTGGGGAATTTATTTTTAATTTCTGAATTGAGTCTACTAGCCACTTTATTGATCGAATTAAAGCAGTAGTTGTCAAGAATTTCTAAAACCGAAAAATAGTATTTTTTCTAATTTATTTATAGTGGAGAAAAAAATTTTTGCGTGGCGCGAAAAAGATTCTATTAGTTGATAGACTTACACTACCGTTACTCAGCGAAGTTTAAATTTCTCTGGAGAGAAAGTTTCCGAAAGATAAAATCAAAAATTGTAATAGTAGATAATGCCTTTCGGAAGTCATCAATCTGTTCATTTTTTTCTTTTCTCTTTTGGATGAATTTAAACCCTGAGAATAGTAGATTTATTCATTACTATAAGACTTCATTAGCGGAAAAGAAACGTTTGCTTTTTTTTAAAAGAACATTTTTCCCATCTCACTTTTCTTTGAGGGATAATTTTAAAAATGAAAATTGAAATACGAGTTTATATTTCTCCTTATTTATTATCATTCAAGTTGAGTGGATTTTAAAGGGCTTTTCATAACTCTTATTTTTAATTACCAACATCCATCGCTCTCTCGTAACGTCCAATAATAACCAGCACACCAAATATCAAAACATATATAGGAGCATTTGCGGTTTTACAATAGTTTGTTTGCATTGAATTCCAAGTGAAGAGTAGATCAACGGAGTTTTCCTCATTTTCGAAAGAGCCCTAGACATTTTTCATGACCTATATTTTTATCAGACGGAACACAATCTACGTATATCCAAAGTGCATCTTTTTTATAATACACTTTTTGAATTTCCAAGCAACAAAAATCAGATGAGAAATTGAATTGAATTCCAAGAAAATTAGCTGTGTATATATGAAATCACTCGGAATTCATTTTACTCGTTGTAAGAAAACTCCTTTTTGAATATTTTTCATTTTCTACCCTTTTTCTGATGAAAATAAATGATTTTTTCAAGTAAAATAATTTTGGAATTATTTACAGCGTTTTTCTAAGTGGAAAAAAGTTGATCCTCTTTGAGGGTTCAAATTTAAAATGGGGTATTTATTCACAAACCCTACATTCTGAATGTGAGAAGATTAGAAGAGAAAAGTTTTTTTTTATTCTGCCACACTTTGGCATATGGCTACTGCTAAAGATTATATGAGGCAACAATATCACCTTAGCCGTGTCCAATATCGAAACGTTATTATTATTATTTTAATCCCCCGTGGTGACTGAAATTTTTCACCCCTGGATTTCATTGAGATTTATTACACTCTGTCGATAAAGACACAAATAATTTTTAGCACGTGTATTGCTCGTAAATATAATCTTTCAAAAGTTGCCGAAATCTTTAGTATGTATCAAAGAAGGAAAGAGAAAAAATATCTCATCTAGAAATAGAGAAATAATCCAGACATTTTAAAATCAATCACTAAAAGTTCTCCCTTTTTGTCACGCGTCTCTCGCCCTTATTTAATTCCCATAGAAAATCATAACCATTCTATTTCAATTTATTTCTTTTTTTTGTGGGTAATTTTTGAAAAGGAGATCATTCTCATTCTTTGTGTTCAATAAATTGAAAAATAATACCTTTTTTGTAATAAATTTTTTTTTACTATTTACAATTCGAACTGTAACCAGATTTGTTGGAAAAAAATGGTTA